TGTTATTTTATTCAATTTGTTTTCTTTTTAGGATGAGGAAGATAAAACTGAACGTTTAGCTGTGACTATGGAAAAGAACTGCTTGAATTAGCTAAAACTGGTGTTACCATTGATCCTCAAATGGCACAACAGATTGCTCAAAAACATAACCTTTTATGAACAACGAAAAAACAATGTTTTTTTTTTGGTTGTCTTTTTTTTCTCTGCTAACAAAAAGTACAGATGGTTATTATTTCGATTTCTGTCAACGATCAACTTGACATATTCTATAGATCTAAAACGAAAAAAAAACAAAAACGTAGATAATAAAAATACTATTCCTATCATACATGAAATAAATTGTCATATGTTACATAATTGTTTGTCGTAGAAAAATCTCAATAGTAGTTCAATTCCTAATATTTATACTGGTAGATGATTAATCAGTTGTATAAATAGAATAATACTATTCGAGATAAACTGTCTGCTTTTTAGCTCGATTTATCAATATTTTTCTTGAAATGAATAAAACCCATTTAAGTTAAAATAGGAGTAACTTGACGATAAAACAAAATGAAGATAGTTACTTTAAATAATCTTTCTCTATTTCAAGAATTTTCAAGATGAAAATAAATCGATTTTAATCTATCATTATAATTGTGGATTCTACTGATGGAATGTGTGATAAACTCATCGTTTTCATTAGTTTTCACATCTTTCTTTGAACAGAATTACAAGTATTATATATATTGATCAATAAAGATGAATATATTAAATCTTGATAAATAAATGTCAATGATAATAAAGCATAAATATTCTTCAATAGGAATGCTTACGAAAAACTCGGTGATAAATTTTCGATGATTTATTCATTCGTCTTTGGTATGATTATTTAAAAAGAAAAAAAAAATGATTTCTTTGTTTGATTAATGAGAACGTTTTTCTGATAAAATATTTCTTTCTTTTTTCGGTCGGTTTTTTAATTAATTTTCTTATACCTATTTCCAATTGATTTATGTCGAATAGTTGAAAATATATTTTGAAAAATCTTTTTTCCTATTCGTCAATATCTCAAAAACAATCAATCTTTTATTTTATTTTCTTCTAAAATTATTTTTGAAAAAATTCTCTCAACTCTAGTAAGGATCATATGAAATAAAATCACCTTCTATCTATGTCTCTTTCCGTCAGGGTCAAAAAAAAAAAAAAAACATTCACTGTGAGAACGGATATTCTGCAGGGGCGCAATTATCTATAGTAGATTTGACAGAAAACATCACGTGAACAAATTTATATTCATTTTACCGGAAGAAAACTTTACTGAGATAAACAGGATCTTTCTCCTCGAATTTTTTCGTTATCTCTAGTCATTCGAATGCCGATATCTATCTCGATATATTCGAATAACCTGTCTCGTCTGACGGCTACTGTTGAGTAGGAGCTTCTTTCAAGTGTGATAGTTTGATTAGAGATCGGACCTCGCATCATTCAATTTAAGCTAAAAGTTCAACTAAACTCGTATTTTCCTAGCGGCGGCTCTAGTAAACAATACCGTTAGCTGATGTGTTACTAAGCGAATGGATTTTTAGTAGAAATTTTAAAGAGCATAGGACGTTTTTACAAAAAAAAATATCGCGAATGCGTTTTGATTGGTTGCCTCTCGGAAACGCTGAATATAATATCTTTTTTCTGGTAGATGTCGAGATCGCCGACATTGTCTAGTTATTCAGATTTTTCCTAACTATCCATATGAGGGGATCTATTTGATTAGATCTATTTCTGACAAATATGTTCATCCGAATCTACTTATTTTTGTACAGAACGAGATTCTCGTTAATATCAGCGTAGACCTACCCACTCTTTCCAAATATTGGATACTAGCTCTGTTGAATACTAAAGTACTGCCCATTTCAAAATAAAAGGCGGGTGGCTATTTTTTGAATAACTTTCGATAGGAACAAGATAGAGAGCTGCGGTTTTCACCATTCGAAAGTGGCTGAGCTAGCGCATCGATTCGTATAAAATTGTTGAGGTTTATTTCATAAATTAGTAGTGATCCATGGCCACCTTAGAAGAGTTGACGGTTGCCCGATGAAGATAGAACGAATCCTAAACTTTAAAGAGTGGACTAGAATCGCTAGCTGACGAGCTAGAAAACTATATATAAGGCTTGATTCAAAGCTTTACTGTTTTGGAAGTTCTAGGTATTATATTCGACAATTCTAGTCAACTTTGCCAGCAATTTCTGTAAAAAAACTCGATTTTTTGAGTTTTTTTCATTTTTTTCTGAGAAAATCAGACCTGTTTTTAAGGCATTTCTTTGTTCAACTATTGCAAAAGACTCCAAAAGTCCAAGTTAAAAGTTATTGTTTTATATGATTCGATGCCTTTTCATCTGTTCTTTCCAACGGTGAAAAGCGCAGTTCTCTATCTTGTTCCTATCGAAAGTTATTCAAAAAATACTCATCCGCCTTTTATTTTGAAATGGACAGTAGTACAAAATATCAAAGAGCCGAATATACAGTCGACAGTCCAGCGAGTCACACGGATGAGCATTACTTCTATATATATAGAGATTAGCTACCCCTTATTACCTACCAATGGGTACCGTCCAAAGCATAGCCCTTAAAGCACTATAGTTACCCCCAATAGAGCAGCCCTTATAGCCTTATTCGAGCTTTAAACTTTGACCTGGCACAGAGAAAGAGACACACACAGTGAAAATTCTATATATGAGTCAGTCCANCATTGAATTATCTGCGCAGCCCTTCACCTGAAATGACGTTCATTTGCCCTACTCGTGAAATCGAACGCACATATATCTAGAAATATCAATTTATATATATTTTAGTGAGCCATTGTGTGATTCTCTACTGCTTGTGGATCAAATTGTGTTGATCATTGAACTCGTGCAAATAGTTTGCTTTTCCGTTTTTCTTTTAATAATTATTGAAATTTTTGTAGTGTGCCTACTTTTTCTGCTTGAATGAGCTTGTCTCTAGTGCAGTGATTTATCTTTTGATGACGATTCGAAAGCTGTTAGTCTAATTTTTTTTGCAACGTCTTTGAACTATATTTTTGTTCGACGACCACGATGATAAAATTAGCACTATCAATTCTCAGCCTTTTCGTTCAACAGGATTCTTCAAGACATGAAAACATTTATTCAAGAGAATAGCTGATGAATTAGAGAAAACGATAGACGAACAAATTCATTCTACTTTATGGTTCGTAATCGAATCATCGTTGATGAAAAAAAAAGACATCACCCAAGAGAGAAGCAACAAATTAATAACTATGGAAAAAACTATTCCAAATATTCGATTCAATGTGTTGAGTAGTAACAATTAAGAACTATCTTTTGGATCATTTCAAAATTTGACCTTATGTTATAAAGAATATGACTTTCACGCTGAAAGAACTATATATTTTGCTTCATCTTTCGACATGCATCGCTACTGACCAAAGTTCATCCTCTGAAAAAGTTCGTGAATGCAATTGCCCATTAGTAATTGGATGAAATATTCTATAAAACTCCTAGTTATCTTGGCAACAATTTTGAGTACGATGACTTTGGATCAACCAGTGAGAGATTTTTTTTCAATATAATCACAACTGTTTTTCATCGACTTCGTCGTAGAATAAAAGGCAATTTTGCATCAGATCGATCTTGAATAGACTAAAATTTTAATTCTATTCGGAAAAGTGGTCATATTCGGCAATATTATTTATCAAACACCGATATGTAAATTTGCATCGATTAATTGCGATGACTTTCGAGACAAAGGCTTGTGTTTCTGTTGAAGAGATTCTGGGTCGCCCCATGATTCATTCGTATGTAATCGTTCTTCAAAGTTCTGCCAGTAGCATTCAAAAGAGCGCCTAGTTATCGTTCATCAACTACTTGAAAGAAAGAAAAAAGAACGAAGTATTGCCGGTAAAAGTTCATCAGTCCGCATAACAGAACGATCATGCTACCGCTTTCTTCGTTCCTCTACCCCAGAAGGAATTCAACAAGATGAGAATGAGCAAAAAATAAAAAACAAAATACGGAAAGATGCTTCTATATGATTGTGAATCGACATTAATAACGAGTGTCGATGACTGAAGTTTGTCAGGATGATTGATTGCAATAAATATCTCATTAAGAGAGAAGGCGGATGTCGATTAGTTCCGTTTTCATAACTTTGTCCTCTCTCACTGAAAATCATTCGACAAACAGTATGCATCTTCACATTTTGTATTGTTTTCTTCATCAATCTCGCTCGTAACTAGGCATGCACCAAACCCAAACGGTTTGGGTTTGGTGAGTTTGGGTATTGAGTTTGGGTTTGGGTTTGGGTTTGGGTATTGAGTTTGAGTTTGGGTTTGGGTTTGGGTATTGAGTTTGAGTTTGAGTTTGGGTTTGGGTATTGAGTTTGAGTTTGGGTTTGGGTTTGGGTTTGGGTTTGGGTTTGGGTATTGATTTTTTGTTCGAATTGTATACGTCGTGGTTTGTGCATAGTACTGAAGTAGGCAGTAGCATTGCAGTGCATCATGTCATAGTTAATTATAGGAGTGCGATTGATATATCACATAAAAATAAAATTAGGATTATAATGTCTTGATTTTTAGTGAATTTTTCGACTTAATGTTCAAATACCATTTACAGTGGAATCTTTTTGTGGTGTCTCAGTAGCCTATACATATCTTGCAGCTTTATAAGTCTATCAAGAAGAATCCATATTGTATTCAAACTTTAGTATGATTATTTGATGTATCTTTATAAAAAAATATATTATTACTATTTTCTTGTAATGTAATAGATATATAATAATTTGATTGAAAACATTTCCAGGTTAAAATTTCAATTACTTACACTGTACTTTCTTCAAAAGAATCTTGTTTTAACGTATAGTTTGAATTTTTTTATTTCAATCAAGATAAACACACAAAGAAGTACCATAAAGAGAAACAAATAAAAATTTTCAGATGCAATTGTATGTATGCTGACCACTTTCGTATCATTTTTTTTCTCAGTTTTAAAGCTTGTCTTTAAGAAATACTGACATCGCTAGATTATCGGGTGATAATCGAGAACGTTCTTTTCTTGCATAATGTGCAGAAATAGAAAAAGCCGATTCGCTTTGAACACTTGTAGCAGGAGCTGATAAATAGCAACGAGCCATATCTGATAATAATGGTAAATCAACACCATGTTGTTTCCAAAACATTAAAGGATCAGAAAATTGATTATCGATAAAGATTCCCGAAAAAACCATCGCACGCCGTTTAGTTTAGGGATGTCATTTACTGTTCAATTTATAATAAAAATAAATTATAAGAAATTTATATTTATTGTAAATGTAAATTATTTTGTTACAGGACTTCCATTTAGGAATAAATGTAAATTAACACGATTTACATTTAAAAGTAAATGTAAATCCTGTGGCAACGTAATTTACATTTTTAATAAATATCTCATAATTTAATTTCCATATAAATTAAATGAAAAAGTAAACGTTAATTGAAACTTTTAGTTTAATTTGAATTAATATGGACTTCGATTAAGAATATTTTGTCTAATTTAAGGAAATTTTTCATAGATCTTTCGAATGACTGCGTCTATTCAGTTCAATGAAAATTAGCTTTTCAGAAGAAAGTAACTGTAATGATACAATAGAAACTATCTGTATATATGTAGCTTAAAAAACGATCGATTTTCGTATTGTATTAGCTTGACATATTCTGATATTTATCTCTCTAATTTGTTTCCATCTTGTTCACAATTATAATTCAATATATGATGAAAATTCGAAAGTATAAACTGAGAATTTTGTAGATAGCGATGTAGTGTATTCTAATATCAAGCTCAAATTATAACTAGCAAAACTTTTCGTTAAAAATACAACAAGTCCAATTATATATAATTAATTGTAATGAACATGTGCGTGATTTTTTTACAAACCTCAGTCACCCAATATCGCCTAAGCATTACATCTAAAAAAAGATTTTCATACGTACAATTTAGTTGCCAAATTTCGATATTTTCTTATATCTGATTGGATTGTAGATGTTGTTGTTGGTTCTTGAATTAGATCTTTATTCGTAGCTCGAAGAAAGCCATGCCAAGCTTTATCGATGTTATTCATTTTTTTCATTTGTTGATTTGATGATGACGAAGAATTTTCTGATGATGAGAATACATTTTTGTGTAATTTTGTTATTTCTTTTTCAACTGCTGTTTGTTCGCCTCTTGTTAGAGCCGAAAAACCTGTTGGATCAAAGTATGAGTACAACTGAAAAAAAAATACAGCTAATTCACGTAAGAAATTAAAATAATGCATACCACTTACTTTTAAAGTATTGAATTGTTCTACATCATCAATAATATACTGTCGAAATTTATTCAATATAATTTTTTTTAAATTATTTAACAATTCATTATTATCTTCTTTTGTAAGATGTTCTTCAAGACCTTTCAAAAGATACCATGCAGATCCAACAGTTGGATATTTTGCATTACTTAAAACTTTTGTAGCTGAATAAAAAGGATATAATAAGCTAATAATCAAATTTAAACTATCCCATTCATCAGTTGATAATTCAACACGTGTTAATTTTCTTCGTAATTTCACTGAAAGACCAAGAGTTCCTTTTGATTTGAAAAGATCGTTAATAAAATTACGATAGAGATTAATTGTATGCAGCATCTTATAGGTGCTGTTCCATCGTGTTTTTACATCAATGATCAAACGTCGTTTGATTTTTTTCTGTTTCTTAGCACGTGCATTAAAATGTAATCTTTTTTTTTCAATAAAACTTGTTAATATTGATGATCCTTTAATGGTGTTAATTATTTCACGTGTTTTATCAATCACGTCTTTGATCATTTGTGGTATATAATCAAGTGATGTTTCGTCCATATTAATTCCTTCCACAAAATTATCAACTATCTCTTCGTCATTATCATCTTCTTCATCCGTCCATTCTTCATCTGTTGCTGCATCAGTTAATTGATGATTCGATTCTAATTCCCCATCGACATCATCATCTTCCTTCATAGAAAATTAGATTTTAAAATGAATAACCTAAAACCTTGATTCTTGATAAATTATTATATGAAAACTCAAATTTGTCCCTCACTATTCTATTCCGTTACTCATACAAAAATATTTCCGTTGAGCACGATTTGTCTAGGCTGAAGTTTTAAGGAATGAATAGTCCCAATCGAAAGCACTTCTATACCAAATTTTACCTCGGCACGTCGAACTAGACCAAACTTTTAACTTATCTATAGGTAATTTATAGCCTTCAGGTCAACATTCAAAACTTTTTCACTACGAAGAGTATAGAACCCGAATGACTTTGAATTAAAGCCTACATATGTGTGCAATTTTTCTTTGAACAGAATTAAAATTTTTTTTTCACTCATCTTTTTTGATTATTTTAATATACATAGCGTTAAAAAATGTGAGAAAAAGGCCACTACAAAGACACTAAATCATGACTGTCTCGAAAAAGAAAGTAACTATAAAACGATCTGGCTGAAGAAAATTTTATTTCATTTTAATCTTTACAATGGAAGAAACATTTGTAACTTGAAGTAGATAGTATAAGTTTTAATTTCTCAAATAAAAAAATTATCTTCTGAAAAAGTGCAAATAACTTTAGGCATGAATTTGTTTTAGATCCAGAGAAAATAACATATGTGAAATATTAAAAGAGTTTGATAGGATTTGTAAGCTAGTTTCATGTGTGATGTTTAAATTCTAGAAGGTTGGTTATTCAGCGATAGTGCAAATAAGAACTAGTCTCCTAAAAATAAAACAATACGAAAATCTTTCTGAGGACTGGCTAGTTCAAAGTAAACCTTCTCTGAAAGTCTGTTCGAGTTCGATCTCCTTTTGAAGTTATTTATATTCTGAGGAAGGAAATTTCGCGGTGTCTTTCGATATAAACACCTCGACTTCAATTAATTTTCCAAAAACAGATTTTTCGATGAGAAATTTTGCCAATAATAGGATCGAAAACTTATTTTATTGGACATCTATGATTACAATTAATGTTGATGAATGATAGACTGTCTTTTTTTATATTACAAAACGATTGTTGCTTTTGTTATATGTATGTGATACTGTCTTTAATTGGTCATAGCCTCCATTTAAAACTTATTGAGAGTCATATTTTTCACAATTGTTTCTTTATTCCTAAGAAAAACTTGAAAATTTTCAAATAAAGTAGTACCTATTAAATATATTTATATTTCAATACAAAAGAAGTTTCTACATTCATTAAAAATCGGTTGCCATTTGAAACAGGTTAATTAATTACTAATTACACACATATGAAGCGAAAGCTGGAATTAAAAAATTCATTGATTCAAATAGTTCGCTTTTCAATGGAATTAAATTAACGATTAATATGCCACACTTGATTTCGAGGGTAATTCGACAAAATTTTTTCTAACTCGATACTATCTATAACTCTTAATTGCTTAAATTCTCTGATGATGAATATTCTGCAATGAAATTTACAGAACGAATCGTCGTCAGCAACTGGCTGCAACTATAATTTTTATTCTTTAAATGAGCTGCTATTTTATTTACTTCTTACTACTACAAAATTTAGATTTGATCTTAAAAACTAAAACTGAAAGGAATATAAATTCATAACTTACTTTTGATGTTTCATCACCTTCACTATCATCATTGATCATACCATAAGATAATGGATCAGTATCGAAGGACATCGTTCTCACCAGTTGATTTAAACTACCTTCATCTTCATCTTCATCATCTTCAATTATACTAGCTTCAATAACTTCTTCATTTTCAGTTGTATTTCCTTTTTTCTTTGTTGTAACCCAAAGATTCAAGCTGTTGCATATAATTAGGTGTAATTTGTGAGCAGTACAATGAATATATTTTATATTTTGACGAGAAAAATAATTAAACATCTCGCGCATATTAGGTGCACCGTCACATGTAATGGTGACTAGTTTATCATATAAGTTCAGGTTAATTAATTGATTTTCAATTTCATTTGCAATAGTTAATGAATAGTGACGATCTTCAAATTGCATAAATTGTAACATTTTTGAATGTGGATCGAATTTTTTGTCAACATGATGTCCTGTAATCACCAGAAACGAATTATTTTTTCGGTCTTTCCAAAAATCACAAGTAATGGATAAATATTTAGCTTCTTCAAATTCAATTTTCGTTCGATTATAGTGGTATTGATGAAGACGTTTCAGTTGCTTTACCACTACGTTTCTGTGTGGTGGTATGTAATCTATTAGAGAATAGAAATTTTAAATGATGAGGCTACATTTTTTTTCAGAAAAAAAAACAACAAATAAAGTTCTGAAGAATTATGATATATGTAAACTTTTTTCAATTACAGAAATTTTTATACTGTGAACTTTAGATTCAACAATGTTATCTTTTTGTTGATCAAAAAAAATAAATTTCACTTATCTGTTTAGTAGTAGTAACTTATTTTGTCTGATTTTAGCAAAGAGGAAGTCTTATAGTAGTCGGCCGGATAAGTTCCTTGAAGTGCATTTAATCTATCAAATCTTACTAAGATTCACTTAAATTCAATATGACTCATTAGAATTAAGTATAGTTCATCAGAATCTAGGAGAGGTCTTAAAGTTCATCACTGATTTAAATTCAACGTTGAAAGTACGGATTCTTTTAAATCTCAAGTCTACTAAATTCATCAAGATCCACCGAGATCTATAAACATCCAGCAACATTCACATTTCTTACATGCATATTTTCTTTCTTACCTAAAACTTAGAGAATTAAGTGTTCCTATGTTTTCTTATTTACCTCAGTTTCTGATAAATTCTAATGGATTCAATCTACTATAGTAACGTTCGATGAATCTTAGGAACCATCACGATCCAACCTTTTCTCTCTAAGAAATTAATCGATTGGAAATTGCAAACAAGAACTTGAAAATATTATCAGAGATCAGTTCACATTCAAGAATCTTGAAATTAGAAAATTTTTAATGCATGAAATGAAGAAATTTTGAAAAGCTTTTGTTGGAATCATATAGTCTTATTTATTTTATTGTTGCTAAAATAACAGAGTTAACATGAAAACAAAGATATAGAAATAATTATATTTACAATACATCATAAAATTAAGAGATCCCTTGTTAATATAAGTGAGAAAATTGATTTTTTTTGTCAGTTTATCAGTTCCATTGTTTACTTAGAATCTAATTCAGAATATTTTTTGTAACAAAACCTGAATCATTAATTAATAGAAATGTGAGAAATAAAAATAAAATAAATAATACTAAAAGAAAACAGAATAGAAACTGTAACCACATAATAAAGAAAGGTGGCACGTAGTAACAGTTGATATAATGAGAAATGTTACTCATTTATTAGATGCATATAGAGAATATAAAAGGAAAAATCTATAATTATAGTTTTATTAAAATAGACTTGTTCTGTTTACTACTTTTATTCTATATATACAATGTTCCTATAACCAGTTTTCAATGGTTTCCAGAATATATTACTAAGTTTCGATACTTATTATAAATTTTTGCTATTCTTGATTCAGAATGTGGTCATCACGAGATGATGGAATTCATAAATTAAATCAGGTTATCTTATATAACGAATCGAGTTGTTACTAATTAAGTTTATTATGCTGCAAACACAACTTTAACTTTGGAAATATTTTCTTCCTATCTTATTTACTGAACAACAATCAGAAACTATTCTTACTCGGTTTCAAAGCATCAATCAATTTCTTGATACCAGGTTTCTGTAAATCACCAAATCCTCTAGCATCTTGAATGATTGCATTTACAGCTAATAAGTCCAATGCTTTTTTTTCTGGTTTTGATATTTTGTTAGAAATAGTCGATGAACTTGGTACAGCAGATGAATCAGTTTGTTTTATATCATGTACTTGATCTAGATGACGTTTAAGAGTTGATGTTCCATAGTTCGGTGTTGATAATATATGTTGACATAGTAAACATTTGGCTTTTAAAATTCCGTTTAAAGTACACCTTTCGAAATATTGCCAAACACTAGATTTTGAAACGCTTTGAATAACGTGTTGATTTGATGATGTTTCAGTCGATTTTTCATCAGTTGAAGTTGATGGCAATATATCAATGCTTTCATCACGTGATGAAGATATACGAGAATCAGTTGTATGACGTCTAGTTTTCATTTAAATGTAAACAATAGTTATTCTTGATCATCAGCAAAAAAAATAACTAGATTCATTAGATTTGTTGGTATTTATATATAGTAAAGGAAAGAGAAAAAAAATCAAGTATTATTCGAACAGTACGCTTCCATATAACAACACGGGAAAGAGAAAAACGTTTTTTTGAACCACGAGACTGGATTCATTCATTTAATTATCTTTTAACCGTTTGTGTAACATCTAAGGATACTCAGCGTGAGTGACACGATTAAAATCGCTTTACTTTGGTTTTGATATACTACCGACGAATATTGACATGTGTGATGAGACGAAAGTAGTTTTCTAGATCATATTCGGTTAAAACTTACAGTTCAGTTTATTACCACAATAAAATATTACATTGTCGTCTTAAAAAATTCGGCTTGTACAAAATATCTGATTAATCTGTGTATAAGATAACCTTATATCGTTAGCTCATTGCATATAATAGCTATCAAAAGAACAAACTGAGGAAAAAAGTGTCAAATATTATTCAAAAATATTCAATTCAGAATGATCCGTGTAACTTGTGTATGATATGTTCAATACATTCCTGATAACGACGAATATGTTGTCTCTTTTACGAAAATGACAACATGCGAATATTTTCTCCTTAATTCCTTCACAAGTTTCTTCAAATCTCTTTGTTCAATTCATATCTGCAAAATGCAATAGATGAATAAAGCAGAAACATAATAATAAATGATTTTTGAATGTCTCTTCGTATTCTTGAATCTATTAATCCAACCAAGAAGTTCAAAGATGTCTTTTTATTTATTTATCAACCCTGGATAAAAAACAAGCATTAACAACGAATGATGTAAGAGGAATCGGTCATGATTAGAACTGAAATTTCAGCATTGGTTTGAACGCTTAGCTGATACACAAACCCAAACCCAAACCCAAACCCAAACCCAAACCCAAACTCAATACCCAAACCCAAACCCAAACCCAAACTCAAATACCCAAACCCAAACCCAAACCCAAACTCAAATACCCAAACCCAAACCCAAACCCAAACCCAATAACCAAATCCAAACCCCCAAACAGTTTGGGTTTGGGTTTGGGTTTGGTGCATGCCTACTTATGAGATAGTGCATCGAATCATACTAAATGTGACTTCAGTTTTGACAAAAAGATCAACCTTATATATCATTTGACTGATCATCATCAACATAATAATAGAGTACTATTTTGGACATTGCATTATTCCAAAAAAGCCAAGTTGCTCGATATGGTGGTATAGTTTATTCGATAGAACGTAAATTACTCTACAGTCCTAATAGTTCAGAATTCAGAACCGCTTCCATACAACGAAAATATCAAGTTCTCTTCGTAAAGGAATATTTCATTTTACTCAACGACACTGAATCTTGTAGAAATGCTTTTTGTTGCATTCTTCACTTAACTCAAGACATTACGTAATTACTGTAGAAGAGTCCTAAATTGAAACATCAAAGTTCATTCGCAAAATGTTTCAGATGCATCTTCTTTTGTAAGCACAACAAGTTCAAATGTTCAAGAAACTTGAGAATATACTTACTATCCTATAAACACGGCTATTAATAGAACTTATGCATTTGAATTATAGCTGTTGATTTTTCAAGTCGTCTAGAAATCCGGAAAGAACTATACGCAAAATTTTGAGTTTTCTGAACAGTGACGTCTCCAAAGCTATATGACGGTGACAAGCGAAGATCACTATCGAATAACATTGCTGAAATTGCATTTTTCTTAGTTCTTCTATTCGAACTTGGAAACTGCACCAAAATGGAAATAAAACTACATACAAAAAATGGAGATCTTTTGACTCATTTAGTTATTTCTATTTTCTATATTACAACAGCAAAACACTTCAGAAAATGACATTCAATTGGCAAGCATAACCCTTTCATCGTGCATTCAACAAGATGGTCAGATGTAGCTACTATATTTATTTCTTTAAAATTCTAGAAGTAGAATTGTTGGAATTTTCATAGAAATAAAGCCCTCAGAATTGTCTGTATGGATTTAAAATACTTGATATATAACATCAAACTTGATGAGATCAGCTTGTACAAATCGATAATAGTCTGCGTAAAACAAGAGATCACAGTTGGACGATTGAAGAGCTCTTAATCGCTTAAATATGTACAAGTAAGAAAATTTGGTTTGAAAACTAACCAGCAAGTTCTACATACAGGGTGTCCCAAAACTCATGATACGCTAAAAAAACCTTGAATTTCTCCGCCATCTTTTGACCAAATAGGGTGACTTTTTTATCACTAATAAGGGAATATTCATAGTTCATACTCATAAGAAAAACATTGGCAAATACTGCTTTGAAGTATCACTGTTGGCTCAAAAAAAAAAGAACAACAGCCTTTCACTATTATCGAAATCCATATAATTATTCTCCTGGTCAAGAGTAAAAGATAAATCTAGTTTTTTTAATACATCGAGAAGTCGTCCACATTACAATGTATCTAAAATGTAATTCGATACTCGTATTCCATTCTTCTTCGCTAATATTTTTAACTGTTGTCAGATTGTGGTTGCGTTTATTATGAAATATTATTACCTTTGAGGTCATCAAGGTCAGATGTCATCGCACTTACCATCTTATACATATCTTTTCTCTCTTTCTTCCTGTCCTATAGATCTCTTCCGCTCTTCAAACTATTTTACGAGACGCCATGTTCTCTCTCTTAACTGTTCTCTCGCAAGAACGTTCACGTAGATTCTAACACACACTCACTCTATTGTCCATATATATACTGTTTCTGGTTCTCATTTGTTCATTCTATTGTGTTATTATTCATTGGACAAATAATGGCAGAGAAACTCAGTCTAGTAGCATATTGTAAAGTTGCAGCATTGACGAAGGCATTCGGAAGTGTGATGAAGGTGCATCAAAGGTTCGAAAAAGAGTTCGGAGAAGAGCCCCCAAGTCGGTCAACAATTTATGCTATCCACTGACGCTTTATTAACAATGGAAGTGTTCAGGATTGTTCACGTTTCGGTCGATCCAAAAGTGCACGCTGTGACGAGAATATTCAAGCCGGGTCTGCAATTATGTTAAGAACTCCAACAACATTAGTTCGAAGAGCATCGCAAGAAACAGGAATTCCATGCCACAGTGTGCACAAAATCATGAAAATTGATTTGAAATTGAAACCATATCGTTTTCAAATGGCACAACAGTAATATCCAGAGGATAAATACCAAAGAGAAGAGATGCGCTCTCTGCCTTTAAAAAAAGACTTTTGAAGACGCAGATGGTGATCGATTCATGTCATCCCTGTGACTTCCAGATGAGACAACATGTCATGTGCCTGGCGTAGTCAACCGTAACAACTGCGTAATTTGGGGTAAAGAAAATCCAAGACGCATCCGTGAATACGAACAAAATAGTTCAAAACTACATGTTTGGTGTACCATTTCCGGTCATAATATCATTGGACCATTCTTTTTTCTTGAAGACAATGACACAGCTTCTGTTACCGGTGAAAGATATCTGAAAATTTGACAGGACTTTTTTCTTCCAGAACTGCAACGAATGTGATTCCAGCCTGAAAATATCATGTTTCAGCATGATGGAGCACCTGCCCATTTTCATCATACTGTGAGAGATTGACTGGATGAAATATTTCTAGACAAGTGGATTGGAAGACAAGGATCGATTGAGTGGGCTTCATGATCACTCGATCTCACCCCAATGGATTTCTTCTTATGGAAATTTCTAAAAACAAGTGTTTATGCAACTTAAGTCAACACATTGAAAGACCTCAAGACCAGAACCACAGATGCCGTACAAAGCATATCACAAAGAACTCTTCAAAACTTCTTGAATGAAACCATACGCAAGTGGACAAAATGGATGGAAGTGAATGAACAACACGTTGAACATTTGCAAAAATGATGTAGCCGTGATATTATGTTTAAGCCATAGTATTATACACCTGAAGTGAAAAATAAATCTTTAACATATAAAATGACTCTTTGAACACTATGTATTTGAAAGCATTATTTTTCAATGTTTTCCTTATGAGCATGAAGTATGAATACTCCCTTACTAGTGGTAAAAAAATCACCCTATTTGGTCAAAAGATGACGAAGAAATTCAAGATTTTTTGAGTGTATCGTGACTATTTGGACATCCTGTACTTCTACACTCATTATCAATCCAGTTTAACAATGCATAGAAAATAAGAACGTTAATTGAATCATTTTACCAGTGTCTTTGGCTGTCTATGTGAAGCCTACTTCAAAACTCAATGTCTGTTTCGCGCTACAATGCGTCTTTTCGTTATTTTATCCTACAGATTCATAAAGAACAAATGCCATTTTTCCATTTACTAGCCACTACTGTGTCTCTCCTCAGTATGCTTCATACTATCCCAAACATTTGACGATATAGAAGCCATCTTAAGAGAAGAAGGCTTTCAAATTTTAAGATTGTCTCTTGGTTTTGGGATTGATTTCTCCGATACTGGTTATTTTAACTTTTGATCTGCTGGATTTTTAAGTTCATCATCTGAATCCTTGGATCGTTACATTGGGATTTCAATATGACTTTTTTACTTCTATTTGATTTGAAATTCTGAAGTAGGGTGAGGGTATGGATGAAAATGGTACTCACACATCCAATTAAGAAGAGAGGACAGACGTCTTTATCCGGAACTGTACATTTTATCGTAGTGGAATAATGTGACATCTAATGGCAACGATCAATATTATTCTAGCAAGTATTTGTACACATAACAGCATTTTCTCTCCTAACCGTTCAAGCACCTGAGCTATAGCAAATTTGTGAGAGAACTGGCTCATGCAAATTGAGATTCGAACTAACCTACTATCTTTGGCCCTAATTAAATAGTGTTTTATGCGCATTAAACACTTGATTGAACAATGGTCGTTGAACCGTTAAGAATTTGCTGATAATTTTATGCATATACTAATAAAAGATGAGCACAGGACAACTTTTCTGTCCTGTCAGCTACCTCTGTCCTGGCGGAAGGCAGAACAAGACATCAGATTTTTTGTTCTGTTTTTTTTCTGCTGATTTATTCCGCTTTCGTAGATGACTGAAAAGTAAACATGGGAATTCTTACTTTTACTTTCAAAGACCAAAGTACGTAAGACTGTATTAGTTATATTATAGCTAGTATTATTAATATAATTTTCAAACACAATAAGTACACTGTAAATAACCACTTATTTATAGATTCAACAAACTATACGACAATTCTAACGTGCTACTGTGACTGTTAAAATTCGAAAGAGTTTTTCTTTGCAACGAAAAGTATCTGGTCACAGAAATGTAGATTATGAACCCTCAGTATGCTCATACTTTAGCTAAAAAGCGTTAGCTCGTCGTTCTTCGTTAGTTATGGAATCTACCTTGAAAGGAGTATTTAACCGTATAGAAAAATAGGAAAAAAGGAATTTTGATCTAAAATTTGATTATGAGTAAGTTTAATGATCACAAAAGTTCTCTGAAATTTTCAGTCGTATTGGATGCTTTCTCGTTCAGATATTTGATACAGAAAAAGTTCTCACATTTCACAAAAATTCTCAGAAAGGTAACTTTTCTTCGACATATGGTATCTATAGAGGAAAGCATAAATCTGGCTGAAAATTTCAGCACGCTCTAAGGATCTTCAGACCTATTTATGCGCAAAACATCAAAGAAAATCCTCGTCGCTTTCGATTTCTTCATCAGTCTGAGTATTTCTTCTTAGCAAAATTGTCCTCATGATAGCATTATGTATCAATAGATCGTTTAGAAACTCATTGGGTCATTTGTCAGATATCTTGTTGTTATGCTGAGTAACATCACTCTGAAAAGGCTAAAACCTCATGTTGCACTTATGAATCAACACAATTTTCCAATGAAAACTTGTACTTAAACATCCATGAGTCTTGAAAGATTTAGTGTTTCGTTTTTTAGTCACTGAAAAACTAATTTTTCCTCTCTATAATCGCTAATATTATCTAAGTTCAAATGAAAACTGAGATTCGTATATAAAATCTTATGCAGATTTTTATTGAAATCATGGAACAGCTCCTGGAAGGAACATTCGTCCCTTTATTATTAATAACGCGTTCATGAAAAGAAAAGAAGATTTTAAAAAAATGTACAGATTCGATTCAGGATGAGCATAGTACAACTTGTTCTGACCTGTCCTGTCCTACAGAACAGGACAGGACAGGACACCAGGACTGCAGGATCGTCCTGTTCTGTGCTCGTCTCTGATACTAATCAACTTCAAAAATATATTCTCGCCGGAGATCATGAGACGAGAGTGTGGGTGTGTGATGTGTATGTCCGAGTCAGATCTTTTGTTCAACTGAACGCTTACACTCTCAAGGGCTGCTCTCCAATTCTTGAAAGATAGAACTCATCTGGAGTTATGAAATTCCTCTAAATTCTGTCTATTAATTGCCATTCTCAATGACTAGAACTGAAAAGACTAGTTTAAATGTTTGAAAGTTGACTACGCTGACAACAGACATTATTAGACGTATACTGTTTTATTCTTCGAATTTAGAGGAAACTGATTTCTGTTAATTGATAGAGAATTTCACGACAAATCTTGTGATTACAAATGGCGAAGCCTATGCGATGAGTATCAAGCTACATTTTAACAAAATACGAGGACCTTCATTCATGTAAGGTGTTCAAAATGTTTTTCGACTGATTTTATTCAAAAGCAGCTAGAAGCCTTAACCTATTGATATTTTTAGTTGTGGATACTTCGCACAGTGATCTATCGAAGGATATCATGAGCACTACTCGACTGGTAGCTAGAGCAATAATATAACAACACTTTATAGATAATCCTAACGGTACTGCTAATATATCAAAAAGCCACACGTCGGTCAGCGAGAAAATCTCTTTATTCTACAAGAGCAATTGTGACTCAATATTTATGAGTACGTGACAACAGTTTACGACGATAACACTTTATCATCCACTACGGTTTAGAATGGTGCTTTGATTTAGATGAAGAGAATTAAACTATTGATCGTGATCTCAGCAGTAAAGGACAAAATTATTCAAATAGTTAAATGTCTAGTTATCAAGAATAGTTGAATCAGAATTCTAAAAATGGGAGACACTGCTCACATTTGAATTACAGGGTTATAGCAGCTTGCACAATCGCATACACATATACATGACTAAAGTGTGCTGAAAAAAACTTTGATATCTAATTAAAGCTCATTAACGAGTTTTCGATGATACCAAAGTTCGTGATCGCATATTTCATTGTTCTTCTTCAAAACCATAAACCCCTTCAAATATCATAACGGAGGATGAAGCATTGTTCTGAAATATTTACATGAAATTGGTCTTAAAAAACGAGAACATATTGCTGAATGATGATCAGTTTTTTTGATAATCCAACAACATCATTTCGGCAGTCTAGAAAATACTTCCATATGATCGCTCTAGTCATCAATCAAGTAGTAATTATGATATGTTTAGATAGACCAATGTGCAAGTCATCCACATACGGCAATATCAACAGACCAGCGCTTCTAGTTGTTTTTAAATAAGGTCAGTCTGGTGAAGTTTTTGAACATTCGAGTTATTTTTACCACTCGTTAACAGATGTCCCTAACTTTATGGTTCCTGAATATACATTGATGCACCATGAAAAAATTAAAAAAATTAATTTTTTTCTGACGACAAATTGGATGGTTAAACTTTATTTTGAGAGTAATTGGAAGAAGTTCATATATTTCGTCTCAAACTTTTTGATGTCGTTTTTCGAATGGTGCAAGACTCATTGTACTTCTATCAGTCTGATGTGACAAGAATAACAAGCCAGAGATTGTTTGTCAGTACTCAGCGAAATGTGCTAGTTTCCGTATCTAAAGTATTCGAGAAAATTACGTCAAACATTTCACGAGTGATTTGAATAGACGTAGAGACGTCTTCTAAACAACATGATAATGGCCCTATTGAATTCATTTTTGACTGGTTGTTATTCATTTTACAGGTAGCTTCGAAATAAAAGTTTGAAACGTTGGAAAACAGCCACAAAGTCATAGTATGGTTGATCGATGGAGAATTTTGTGAAATACAATTGGAAATAATTGTTGAAGCATATAGCAAGAAGAGTAAAGTCTCTCTCTGTCCTTCAGGATAAGTCACAGGTAGTGGTAGACATGTGATTGGGATTTTAATTCTGCAGGGATTAATCAGACAGAATTTTTTCTTGAGAAAAACTAAAATAAAACGCCTCAATACTAATGTATTATATAGATACATGAAAACATTTCGTTCAACGGTTGCTCAATCTTCATTTAACCTTAGAGAGTTTATTGCCGTAATCAAAATTGATCGATGGGTATTACAATAGAAGTGCAAATTATTAGATGATCAATATCGAATTCAGGAATGAGCACCATTTGCTCGTTTTAATACCCTTTACTAACGAATTATCCGTGCATTTACTTGAATGTACTAAAAAGACAGATCCATGTTCAGTTGATGCTATCACAATACTGCCTGACTGCTTTTATTTATACGGAATATATTGATTATTTAAAATTTGTTTTCATCTTTCTGATTCCGATGCTAGCGTGACACGAATCAACTTTAACTGAACCCAGATGAGGTCTTTTAATCATATAGCCTAAATATCAATCTTCATCATGGCAGTCTTTATTTTGATAAAGAAAATTATACTCGTCGACAGAAAATTTTTCGATTTACGTTGTTTATCAAACTAATCACAGCTTTTCGAAATATTACTCCTCCACTTAATGTATTCACATAGAACGGCAATCCACAAGCAAGATAATAGAGAAGCAAAAAGAGATTGAAAAGAAAGGTTTCAATGGTATTTTGCAATGGTGATTTGAGTATATCGGCCGTTGTTGTTGAATAAAATTTTTGTATGGCCAATGGGAGCGTGAACAGAACGATGAGAAACACTTGAACAAAAAGCATTATCAATAGTTGACGATCTGTTCTTTTGCGTTGATTTTCTTGTGCGGTCGTGATGATTGGAATTTGTGGAATGATATGACTTGTTTGATTTGTAGCAATCATCTGCACACGAATATGTGCTCGACGTACATTCACTATGGTCATTAAACTAAATATGATCATGGCTACCAATGGAAATATAAGAGCCCCAACTACAAATGTTAGATCAGAGAGAAGACGACACATTGGTGTTCCAGTATAGCATTTCAGTGGACCACTAGTAAGATTGGCTTCGAAGCAATAGAGATGATGTGCTTGAATGGCCACCGACAAGATTACAACGATAATCATACCACGGTGTGCATTTTGTAAGGTGCTGTATTGTCGACGATTGGCATCAGAGCTCGATGAGAGCCATCGATCAACAGTAGCCAATACCATGAGCCAAAAGCCACATGTAATTGAACTGAACACCAGAAAACCACGAAGCTTACAGAGAAATGGATTGGTATTTGTAAGATCCATAGCCCAAGTGGATAAAAAGCGAGAAATAAGACCAGAACAGACAGCAACAATATTGGCGGCAGATGAAAAAAGAAAAAAACGCGCACAAGGATTTGAACGAAGACATCGTTGTGATAGAACCAAGATATTGGCAATATTGCCTACGAAACCAAAGACAAAAATAAAAATAGCTAAATAACGATTTATTTGTAACAAAGCATTCTGGAATGCAATAATAAGATTTGCATCAAACGACGACATTTCTGTGCTAAATGAAAAAAACCAAGTAATCTGTTCAAGAAGTCTGAAAATAATAGAAATGAGAGTTATTTTCTCTGCTGCAGTTTATTTAATAGAATATTTCTCATGGGTGAGACATCTTGATATTTTGACATATTCTTTACATTTTCTCCCCAACGGTATGGTTAAAGATTTCAAGAAGCTGACACTAACATACTTTAGCTGAAAATTAATTCTATGCAATTACATATGTCTTAAACCAAAACTTTTAGATTGATGAAAACACAGTAATAGTAACTGTGATCACATACAGATTTCAACTACTTGATTATACTATGCCCTAGATTTTCTTCAAAGGCAGTCTATAAGACTTTTTCTCTCTAGAGTTATATAAGTGCATTTTTCTTGCATAATGCACTTCATTACTAATGTTCTTTTCCCTTCTTGTTCTTTTATTCGATAAAGATGTTTCTGTCATACTTTTCTTCATCAATAGATATGTTACTTACTTTTCTACTGAGGCAGATACGATAGCGGTTAAAATGGCATTGAAACATCTCAATATTGAAACTGTGAAAACATATGATTAGTGGTTAAAAACACGTTAAAACAGTTTAAAATTAATAATTTCGTGGAACTGATATAATTTCGAAGATTTTATGGTGGATGAAAGTTTAAATCGAGGTTTTTGCAGCTCCCACCCTCTAGACTGTAGTAACCACAGTGAGATTGGAGAGGGGGTGAGTGGCAAAAACTAACGATCAGCGAGCAAATTTTCGTAGCAACACAGAAAGACGCATCAGTTATGACAATGCTTAGATTGTTTTGAACTTTCTAGAATCTTCCAAAGCATTCTATGTATCAAAGACTGTTACCATAGATTCTAACTAGTCTAAATATACAGGTTTTGGTACTTAATATAGCGAAAGAATCTCATTGTAGGTGTCAGCCAGTAGGGCGATGGTATTATTGATCTATCAGAGTTGTAATAGGATGTACACAGAAAAATATGAACTGAGTGAATTCTTAAGTTTAAGCAAAACTCAACAGTATATCTCAAAGTTTGTTGAGAGAAAGGATGGTCTGATCAGAAGCTTACTGAACAAATAAATCGATGTGCATAGCAGCATAATATGGTGGTTGAACCGACCACACGAAAAATAAAATAATATTTGCCACTTTTTATGTCATGCATAATATATATTATCATTAGGAGCAAAAAATCGAAGTATTGAAGGTGTACTTGACAATACAAATAAGTTTTTGCAGTATAAGGATGTTAAATGAATCTAAAAAATAGGCCAAAATAGTAATTCTAAATGCAAACTTTTTTGCAGTGATAACATTTCAGAGGGGTTCTATCAACTATAAAAATTGTTATAATGGTGATTTCTTTATTTCTTCAGTATATTTTTAAATAAGTTAAATTATTTTAGTTCATCTGACAATATACGATAAATTGACAAGAGTCAGAGTTTGTGAGTTTCACACTTTGATCCCTCATGGGATAGTACTGACAAGTTTTTTTAACATATTTCTAATGTTTTAGCGCATTTTTGGCAATTAATCAAAAATTCTAAACGATTTTAATAATTTTGATGAAAACGCTTGGCAATAATTAACAAACAGATTGTGTAAACGATGAATTGACAAATGTATACGGCTTCGCAAAAATTCTACCCAAAAACGTATTTTCGTATAACTTCGCTATTGATTTATCTAATCTCATTTGCTCTATTTATGTGTTTTTTATTTTAAATACTTCATCTTATTGAAAAATCTCAATATTAATTTGTTGCTTCTCAGTTACCAGTTTGCTGCATTGTCAAATGTTATTCATCAAGAATGGCAGTATCTCAGTGAAGAAATGAATATCCTCTTGTTAGAAGATTTAAAGTTTATTCCTTTTATAATGAGAAATTTAAATTGCATATTTAAAATAACTGACGAAGTAAATTGTTCGGAGAATATATTTATAAATATTACGATTAATGTAGAGATCGGTCAAAGAAAATGGCAAACTACTAATTATCTCACAACTTACTAATACTTAGAAAACTATAATCAGCACTGCAATTACTGAGAATGTTTTAATTGAACCACGACACTCAATTTATCTTTATCTGAATCGATTTATCGTATCGAAGTTTAAAAAGGGACTTTGATCAAAAGCAACAACGATATTCTATAAGAATTGAGAATTGTTACAAGAATCTAATCTATTCTGAAAATGACAACATAATTTTTGCAGAAGTGTCTCTATCTACTTTTCTCTTGTGTGATGAGATTTTCTCTAGTTTATTAATTTGTTGAAGACTTAAAATAATTTTTATAATTAGTCGAAAGTGAAACTATAACTATCTTAGATAATTCATCCTTTAAGCACACTCGTAGCAAAGTTCATTCATCAAACTCTTTGACCGAAGAACAATTATTTGAACATTGCTGTTCTAATTCTTGATGAATGAATCTGGCCTTTTTTTTCTGTCTGTCTTACGTATAATGATCACTATAACTTGATTGATATCAAAAACTTTTCAAAAAAGCTCACCGTTACTCATACCACACTAACAATTGAGGTGTTTGTGTTGCCAGTTAAAGAGATAGCACATATGGGTGTGGGTGTAGATAATCAATTGTGTCTCACCTACATCTTGATAACTGCTAACTGATCTTTATTCATATTGATATTACTTAAGTTCCAGAAGACATCGACACTAATGTGATTTTAATGCTATTGGCAAATTTCAGAAAGAGTTTTGTAGCCTACTATTGAAATACTCAGTTGATTGCATAAAAAATTCATGTAAATAATCTTAATGTTCCAATATATCCAAACCATGAGTACTGTAAAAATCAAATATCTCTCTCTAGGCAAGCCAACAGCCGCTAATATTTTAACCTTGTTGGTTTAATGATGAGAGCTTTCATTTGACCCGAATATGTGTCATCTCTTTAACTGACAACACAAACACCTTCATTGTAAGTGTCATATTGTTTTTTTTTAATTTGCGAGGATTTCTTCAGAAAAGAATGTAGATAAATGATTAACGATATTTCTATCTCGTGAAGAGAAAAACAGATAGGACAAAAGAACGTCTAATTATTGAAACTTAATGGAACCACTAAACTCAGACTTTTTTCGTAATAATAAGCAATAAGAAAATAAATGAACTGAATTTTCTTTCTAGATCACGCTTGTTACTCATGGATATTTTCACTTTTCAATGAGACAACTAGAAAAGATTTTCGATAGCGTATTACTCAAGGGACCAGGAAGAAGCTATATATTTAATATTATATCTGAACGTATTATGATATTAATGGTAATTTTCACTTATCATGCAACCATTTGAGTGTTACTATGATTCGTTTACTTGTTAATAAGTGCTCAGTATACAATTAAACTAGAGTTGACTTACTTAGATGTTCAGTAAAAAAAAATGATGTCGGGGAGGATGCTATTATGATGTACTTTTTGATATAGGCAATATAATATCTGTTACTGATAGTCTTATTATGTCAAGATATTCAACAAATAACGTTGATCGAGACTTGATTCACTTGATCCTAGACTGAAGGGATAGAGATATGCAAATATGCACCTCTAAGTATAAAAGTGTTTCAATAAAAGTGCTAAATAACTGAAAGAAATAACTTGATGTATAACAGCGATTTGTGTCACTAAACCAATTTCCTTGTAATATAAAACTTGACATTAATGTTTATTAACAAAAATCGTTTTTGAATATGCGGCACTTATCTAACTAATCTCATTTTATAATTGCAATGATATAGATATTCTCTACAGAAATTTTGTCAAATTTGTTCAATGGTTGCATTTTTATAACTATGTTCGCTTTTATTCTTCTATACTATTCTTAACATTTCATTTTTTAGCTCAAATGATAATTTACCACAGTGAACAGAAAATTTTTTGTGTGATATGTTGATACATGCTGAATTATTCAAATAGTGTCAATGATATGCGGTCACAAATAATACTATAATGATTTTACAGAATTTATGCTCGAAATTTCGATGTTTTAATTAGAAATCTTGAGCTTGAAAACGTACCGATTCTGCATCATTCATATTATTCTGTGTTTCTTTCATGTTTGGAACGAAATTTATGCTACATATATATATTGATTTGTAAAGATAAAATAGAAATGAATACAACTATCTACATTAGTAATAGTAGTGCTATTTCTATTGCAAAAACTTTTTATCATATTACTCAAATAAAGTGATTTTAGCTTATCATAATATTATGTTCAGACTTACTGTCTAACACTTGATAGTTGTTACATGACATGTTCATGTATACACCATGGAACAATGGATCGAGCAATTCAATAGTATAATAATAATAATTGCCACTTCTAAGCATCCTAGGTCAAACAAACACCGTTACAAAAAACCGTAACTCGTCGTATATTGGTGTTTTTTGTATAGCTCAGTATTACTACCGTAGATGTAGCCCTTTATAGATTTCACACTGGAAGACCGTGTACAGTCTCTGTTTAACTCAATGTCTCTCCGTAAAAGATCGTATTTCTCTGTATCTTGTACGGAGAGTGTGGGGTGTGAGTGAAAGAAAAATCCGCACCTGCGACCTTCTTTCATTTTATCAACTGATATATCCGATGAAAGATTTTTCTCTTAAAAATGCATGGATATGTGTTACCTAATGTTATATGAATAGCTTGCTTGTATTTTAATTGTATGAACATTTTCATTTCACTGAAAATTAGCTCATATTGTCAGCTACAAACTCTTTATTGGTTCAATTCTTGAAAACAGAGAACTTCGAGGGTTTATCAATTCTCTCGAACCTATCTAAAAAAGAGGACCTTTTAATTGTGCAGTACCCACCAATATGTTACTCATAAAATGCAAAAAGCTGAATGACTTAAACACAAACTCATAAGTGTTACATAATTCGTTTGTTTAATTAGATATTACCTAAAAGTTACAAGACTCTTCCTTTCGATGTTCTCCAGATGCATCGATTCAAACTTATTTGTGATCATGCAAGTAGCACTGTAAGAAGCCATGGATTATCTGATAGATTCCAGTAAGGATCTGACTCTGTGCAATAAGTTCGAACTGTCGAGATATGCTGGAAGCTTTCGAAGCCGACGTTGAACAACTTCTGAGTAAATAGCTGGAATCAAGATTCTTCCAAACTGCGCCAAGATCCCATAGGGAAAAAAATAAGCTTCCGATATGACTTAATTTGAGATAGTCTGTTTCTGATCTCACAAGTCGATCGTATTGAATCGTATCCGGCGTTCGCTTGTATTGCCCTGAATATAGTTAAGTTAGTTTAACTAAAACCAGTTCAAGTGTTTCATACGTAAGTGGATAACCGTACTTACATTCAAACTCTATTTTTTTCAATATTTAGGTTGCAATCAACAGAGAATGTAGTGACTACAGATATTTAAAAAATACATCGATTATTTTTATAATCAGCGTCTTTTGACAGAATCTTTATTAATTTGACGTTTAATGGCACATTCGACAGGTTTCGTGTAATATTTATTAAAGCACGCTGATCTATTTTATTTATGTTCGAATCTTCCGAGAACATAACACTCTTAAGATTTTCCTGCACTTGGAAACCATTAATTAATCCTTTTACAGGAGTAATTAACGGTTTCTGAAAATTCAAATATCGATCTTCTAAAATTCTTAAAGGATTTCAGACAGTAACGAAATCGGAAATCCTTATGGAGTTTTCAAGAGGACTTTTTTTCTAGAATGTGAAGTGTGGTCTCAGGATTGTTGTATACACGATGTTATTTTCTTTATACATTCTACATGAAGAAACAATGAGATTGCAAACGATAAAAATTGATAAAAAAATCTACGTGATCACAAGCTAACGTCATGATATCTTTTTAGCATTTCACTTTGAAGAAAACTTTTCATGACAAAAAATGCTCAGTCCCACAAATTCTATATGAATATGAGTGAAGCTTGAAGTTGAAAACCAATGTTCTGAATCGTGTGTATGCCCATTCATATTGTTTAATGGATAGATTGTTGCTTGAAATAGAGCTATCAAAAAGACTTAAATACTTCTTTTTCTTCTTTTTTTTGCTACCATCTTATAGAAAAAATTATTTTGAGGCTGCATAACTTGAATTTGTTTTAGAACACTTTCTGAGCGTAACACAACTAGCATAAGGTATGATAGGAAAGAAAAAGAAGTTGCCATGCGACAAATGGAACAATAAAAGTATTCTCAGGATGATGATAAAGAACGGAAAAAAAGAGTTTATGAGCACTGTAACGTAAGTAAAAGCATTGCATTCGTCGCTATGCGCTCACAGTATGACACGGTATATATACAACTGGTGTTGCGAGCTGAGTAGAAAGAAGTGGCTCTCTTTTTATTTGTTTCGTCTTATGAAGTCAAATCTTATTTCTTCAATTCATCGATTGATAGAAAACTAAACGAAAACAGTTGTACTAATATGACTTCAACAATTCTATCAACACTTCGTGAATTGGATTTTGGTGATGAGAAGAAATTGAGGGCTCATTTTGATGACATTATGAGAAGGACGCCAACAGACGATCATCAATATCTAATCAAAGTCGTTAGTGCACTTATTGAAGTGAATTGTATGTATGCTCATATCATTGATCATTCTTTCTTCGTTCATATTCGAAATATATTTATCGATATTATTGAAGAATCTGCAGACAATTTGGACTTATCGTATCATATCAGTCAATTATTTTCACAAATGATGAACAATGTCACTGACGAAAACATTCATCTCGTTCAACAGTTTTTTGCGGACCCGAATCTAACCGCATGCTTGATCAAATCTCTAAAGATTCTTTCGCGTAGGTCAAATCCTAGTTTAATTGGCAGTATCGAACATATGATTGATGCATACCAGAAGTTTCAAGAAGATCGTCCGACTGTCCAAGATGACCCAATTCTTTCGACTCTGATAATTCCCATAGTTGACTTCGTCAAATCAGTAGAATATAAGAGTTCATTTTTACAGCTATCGGTTAAACAAGATGAACTTACACATTTTCAAAAGCTCATTCTTGTCACTTGTCCTAAGTACGTTGTTTCACATTGGGGTCAACGCCACGAAGAAGTTGCATTGGCAACAGCACAAGAAACGCTAAGCCTGGCGCCAGAAATTTTGGAACATTTTTTACCATCAATTGATGATTGGAAAGAACCTGTGATTTTATGTGTCTTTTCTTTGATCTTGCTTTGCCAAAATTGTGCAAATCAACGTCTTCTTCCTGTTTACAATGTACAACACAAGAAAATCCTTGAGTGTGTGCTCGACATTATTCAAGGAAAAGAATTGTGGCGCCTCGCGAGTCTTAACGCGACATCGGATAAGCGACAGAAACGAGTAAGTCAGCTGTTCTGCTATGCTACTCTCTACATATATACAATGACATTCTTGCCCGAACTACGTGATAAACTAAAAGAGAATAACACCGTACCGACTCTCATCAAACTTACTCAAGCTAGTTTCGATAAAACTCAATTTCATACTTATCGAGCACTAGCTGCTATCCTTACGGATAATGATATCAAACAATTGGCAAATCCAGCCCAGATCACAACTGTATTTATCACCTACTTGAAAAAATCTATTGATGGTATTGGACTAAAGCAGCGTTTAGAAAATTTGCTGCTCAGTTTGAAAAGTAAGCTGTAAAAGATTTTTGGATGCAGTAGAAAAATCGCAAATGTTCAGCTAAACAAATTTCTCAATGCTAATGATCGACAAGACTGAGTCTTTCTACAGCAATGCTATGCTACATAGTTTCAATGCATGTATCCTTTTTTCTATTTTGTGAAAATGATAAACCATTGATAGAGAGGTATCGCACATCATAGGAAATAAATCCCGATAACTGATACAGTTCTTTCATAGTAGTTGTACTCATCAGTAGCCCATATGAAACTAGACCATTCTTATAGAAGTAGCTGAATGATGAAGCCGGAATAATGAAGAGTTTTCAAACCACGAGCATATAATGCTACATTTGTATAGCTTTGAGAATTCCAATAAATAGAAGAATCTTAAGTTTAGTTAATTGGGTTCAAATGTAAGGAACGGAGTTTGTCCACTCAGGACAGCACTGCATATATAGTCCTGATTAGGCTAATTTAGTATCTTTGCTGATTTAAACCTGTATTTATAAAAAGGATCGTGCATTTTGTAGCTCTGGATTAGTTCAACAAAAAGCCAAGATCAGCTTGATGAAGTCCATTTTTTCTCGACTAAAATCATTCAAGCATTGGATCGATTGTTGGATGCATATTTTTGTTGAACCACACTTGTGATGAAGTTCTCTGGAAAAATTTTTCTACGTGCTACTGAATTGCTAATGTTCACAAATTCATTCAGTTCATCACAGGGTCCAATAGAAATTGATGACCGCAATTTCTCTTCGATAATCATAAGTAAATGGTCGTATCTTACTTAAGCTAGCGCAAATAATACGCATGCAATCTAGAAGAACTTATATCTGCTTGGACACTATTCCTATCAAATAGTTGAATCCTTTGGTATTCATTGTTACAGTGTTGAAGAGATATGTTTTCTATGATATGAAACAAACCAACCGCTTACTCTATTTCGCTCTTTTTCTCTGTGACTAGTCTCTATTTATTTATAGTTCTTATACAACATGATCAAATCAAAGAGGAATTTGTAAAACAAACGGATGGTATTCCTCTTCTTGTTCGATGCGCAACTGAAACTCAGTTTGATGGTACAAAAGTACAGTTGCGTGCACTCAAAATTCTCATGTCATTAACTTTTAACAATGAAGCCCAATTATTACTCCAAAAAAACAACAGCTTTATTCAGTATCTAAATATACTGATCACATCTTCGAAAGCACCTGATTTTCAGAAAGTTGCTAATGGTATTCTATGGCGATTATTTCCGAAGTATGAGGCAACTGAATCCAAATTTCAATACGATGCTATGATATCTTATTCTCACAAAGACAAAGAAATATGTCGCCGAATTCACGACACTTTGATTGCTGATAATTTTCGTGTATGGATTGATCTCGAGCGAATGTATGGTGTAATGATGCAAGCAATGGCTGATGCCATTGAACAGTCGCGTTACGTTATAATATGCATGAGTGATAATTACTGCGTAAGTCCCTATTGCCAAGCCGAAGCTCAATATGCATTTGAAAAACGACGTGGCTTAATTCCACTACGAGTACAGGCCGGCTACAAACCACAAGGATGGTTGGCATTTTTAATATCAGGTCGAATGTATGTGGATTTTATGAAAGTCAATTTCGATACTGCCTATACTCAACTAGTATCAGAACTCCATCGAAATCTAGTCGATGAGAAAAAAATTTCAGCGATTGTTTCGTATTCAAATATGAGTGAAACACCAATAGTGAGGTAAGAACGATTCCAGTAACAATGATTTTTGTTTAATGAAAGCGGTTGATAAATCTTTCTCATAGTGAATTAAGAGAAACTCGACTGTAAAATGTTTATTTTAACAAAGGAATGAATAGATGTGTTTAATGTCGAAGCACTCTTTTCTTAAATCCTCTCACCTTCGCTTTACATGTGTATTATGTCCTATCGTTAGCATAATTAGGCAGCAGCTTAGCGTTTCTACAGGTCTAAAGTATAAAAATGTGGAGAATCACCGGGAAACTTGAATTCTAATGATATTAAATGGAAGAAACTGATTGACTTTCTTCTCTATTTGAAGTACCTCAACGAACGTCTCTCGTGGTCCGACATTGAGTTTGGTCGTTGACACTCAGACAGCTCTTGTTCACGACATCGGTTCAAAACCAAATGGAAGAGATTGCATTGGATAGCCCTTTGTCAGAATAATCTTGAAAAGTTTTTACTCACAAAATAGATGGCTCCATTTCTAATTGACAACTAAATTGCCATCTTCTTTCGCCATTCTCCATCATCAATATCTAATACGAAAGTTCTTTAGTAAATTCTGTTCCTAGGCTGTGTACATGTGAGACCTAAGTGGGTCGACGACTTTCTCTCGATTATTCAATGTTATCATTATGTAAAAGTTCTCTTCTGAAGGTTCTACAGAATGAAATCTGTCACAGAATCTGAATGCAAGAAGCTGTTTTTGATACTCCTATCGGGTTCGATTTTTTCGCTATGTAGTAAAAGCATCAAGGACTTTTAACGAAGTGACAGTTGGTAGTTTATCATATTGAACATTGTTTCGAAAAATCAGGCAATCGAAATATTTGATTTCACAATTATCATTTTAGAATAGAATGTACCACCTACTCATATCCGAACGATGTCTTTCAATGGACTCCGACTAATGTTCGTCATTTTCTACTTGATAAACAACTAAATCAAATGGTGCCAGTATGCCAGCAAATGGATGGACGAAAATTAACGGAATTATACAGATTATGCTGTACCAATAGTCCGGTGATGCTGCAAACACTTCGCTCTGAAATGATGGAGTTACATTGTGAACCGCTATCGACAGATGTCTATTTAACATTTCTACAAGAAATGAGAAATTTAATACCGGCAGAGAACACTAGGAGTGTAGCACACCAATCCCAACTTTGCACGCTGATATAAATAATTTCATTTGTATACTCTCAAGTTTCGTTAAATATAATGCCAAACATCTTTCTCAGTTCTCTGCTTTGAATGGAATTCTTTAGGTGATGCGATATAACGGTAGATTTCAAATAAAATGACAGAGTGCTCAATTAGCAACAAACGTGTCGCTTTTCTCTTGTCAAAGGATTTCACAAGGAGACTCTGTAGTACTTCAAAAATTGAGCAATTAATGCTGCCTCTGTGATACACTGCATCAAAATAACCAAACGAAAAGTGTAAACTGCACATACAAAGACGCTCAAAACTTATCCGTACAGTTGACAAATAACTTTGTTTTCCTGATATATTTGCAATAATTCAACCTTTCGAGTTTATGCTTTAATCAAAACGTAGCTGAAGTTTTCTAGTATATTTGATAATCTTAAGGTAGAAATATTAAAATTGTTGAGTTTGCATTTTGCTCAAAATTATTGGTACATTTCAAGTTTCACACAATAAAACGACATAAGCATTATGAAACGAATGAAGTTGAATTAGTTTCAGGTTCAACCTTCTCAATTACATTTGGATCTCTCTATTGAGTATAGTTAAATATAACTAATAATACTATAATGTCTTTTGTCTAATATCAAAGCGGAAAGAAACTACATGAATTTTTATTCTTTTCATTTTTTTTCTTGTATAATTCTATTAGTATTCAATTGGAAAGCCCTGCTTGTTTATGCATTCTTGTAAACAATTCTCAACTAAATCAGCTAATGTTTCAGCTACATCGTCTCCAATTTTATTCCATTTCTTTAGCAATATTTATTTCAGCTCATATTTATTTTTCGGTGGTGTATGTTTTCATATTTGTCGATCAAATGAGGGTATGTAGATATGTGTGCGTGCAAGTGCGAAGAAGGGACAAACACTGACGCCGAAATCCGCCTGCATCCACTCACACTCTTCTTTGTTTAGGTCTCATTGTTCACTGACCCAAGAGACAAATAATAATTTTGAAGAACAAGAGAAATATCAAACAATAGGCAACTTTCAGCTAAACAATTTCACTAAAATGTTGA